GCAACTTCTCATCCAGATTTCCATATCCTACAGAAGCAAACACAAAACATACCACACAATCGCTGCCCATAATTTGAAAAGCTGCACTACTAGGAAGCTGGTGATTCCACCTTTGTATTAAACTCGTCAAACCAGCTAGACCCCTTTCCATATTTCGCCGTGTTGGATGCAAGAGCGCAGGCCAGAACCTGCGATAAACCAACAGCATAAGCCGAGTGTTTCCTATACACCAATTCGTAGCATATAAACCTCAGATGGTTCCAAGATGACTTCCACGCACACACTTTCCACCCAACAATCCATCATCAAATACCCGCCCACGTAGTATATCTAACATACTTAATCAATCCCGCCTCCCCCCAAGCCCTCCGCAATCTCCCCAAAAACCCGCACCCCCCTACTCCCCAGCGCAGTGCCCACACCAACAGCCGCGGCGCCAACAGCTCTCATGCGTCTAAACCCATCCGCATCCGCGACGCCCCCGATGCCAAGAAGCACAACATGTCTCGTGGCGGAGTCCGCATCCAACAAGCGGCGGAGGGTAGCCACGTTCCCGAGCGCGAGCGGATGCAGCGGGGCCCCTGCAAGCCCACCGATGCCTGGGCCAGGCAGGACCGGGGATGTCGGAGCCTTACTCACGCCCTCGTCGGTTCCGCCGAGCAGGAGGCATGAGCCGAGGGTATTCGTCGCCGTGACGAAGGTGAGGGGACATATCGGGACTGCACCATACCCCGGTAATACCACAGCGCAGTCGCGTAGCGCAGAGACGAACATGTCGAATTGTCCGGCATGTGTATACGGAGGCGTTTTCACGCCCCACGGGATCGCAAAGCCCTCCCCCTTTTTCTTTTTCTTTTCCCCTCCACCCCCTGTCTCCCCATCCCCGCGACTCTCCTCCCCTACAACCTCCGCAACCCGCCTTACATACCCCCTCAGCGCCTCCCCTTCATACGCAGGCGGTGGTTTCCCCGGGATATTCGGGCAGGAGAGATTAATCTCCAGTGCCAGCGGGATGCTGATCTCCCGCGCACACCTAGAAACGCGGCGGTAGCACTCGGCAACTTCGTCAGGGGTTCCAGTGACGGAGACGATAAATGGTTTCCTCTTCCCATTCCCCCCCTCCCCCTTCTCCGCATTCACCTCCTCATCGACCCGCCGTATGAACCCCAAATACCCATCGAGGGGTATCGGGCTATACCCGAGGGTATTCAAGCTCGCATCGCCCCTGCCCCTGTCCTTATTCTCGTCATCTCCACCCCCCGAAACCCGATGCGTCCCCGCCTCGAAGATCGCAAACCGATGCACCTCTTCATCATGCGGGAATCCCTCCAGGAGCGCCGTACGCGTCGTCACAGCGCCCGTGGCGGCGCAGCGGTACAGATCCCGGAGCTGTTCCAACGTCGTGGCCCAGGGGTTGGCCGAGTTGAAGAGCGGGGGGTCTATGTGCAGGCTTGGCGGGAGATGATCATTCTCCTCCATATGGATTGATTGGTCGACTGCTCTTTCTCGACAGCTTTTGCGTGAGACCTCACGGGTGTTATATAGTACAGGTAAGAAAACTCGCAGCGCCTTCAAAATAATCGTTCTTTGTGGTGAAACACTAGATACTAAGGTAGGTAGGTTGGGTAGTTAGATAAGAAACATGTTTGCCTATTATATACACGTTATCTAAGTATGTACGTTATACCTACTTGTTCTTGGCGCTCGAAGCCCGTTGCTGCTGGTTAACAAGCGGGGATTTGAAGATAAGATAACAAGAGGACGGTTAATCATGTCAGCGGGCGAGTTGAATGTTGTGTAAAACGAAGCTACCGCACCCGGTTTGTCTGAATGAATGCAGCCTTTTTTCGTCCCAACTAAACAGTATTTATAATGATTTGAGGGTGTTTTAGGGTTCTCGATATTCAATGCGAATTTCTTGCGGAAGAATACTGGCTGCCACCGTAAGCGTCAACGCCCTCAGTTTAACCCTACATGCGTCGAACACCTCAGTGTGATGATTGCCATCACAAGCACCCTCTCGGGTTAAGGCTCTTAGATGAGGAGATCAATTGAATTTGATCCATCCTCGCTTTGATATCATGTGCCCCGATGACCACCCGTGCTCATTAGCATGATTTTATGCTTCTTTTTCTTCTTACCGCCAGCACCCCCTGTCGGAGCACCTGACCCTGACGCCGAGCCAACGCCATCTAAACCAAAGGCTTCCATCTGCATTGCGATCTCCGCCGTTCCAAGGAAATCGTCATCCTTGAGCCATCCATCGTTTGCCGGACGCTCTGGAATCGGTTTGAGGTCGGGCGACGCCTGAATGGCCCGTGTACCCCACACCGTCCTTGAGGTTGTTGGGCTCGTAGACATGTCAGCAAGCTGTTCAAAGCCCGGTCGTGAGGTGGGTGGGGATGTTCCGGCTGGCGGGCCTAAAGGTTGAAAATCCTCCGAGTTCATCACAGGAGTAGGTTCGAAACTGTCTCCATTGACATTATCGAAATGGCGTCGGGTGGTACGACCGATGGCCGCAGCCTCCAAGCGCTCGGCTTGTATTCTTTCCCGCTCCTCTTGGGCTGCTTTGTCGCGGTGCAGTTTTCTTCGCCGTTCTAAATCATTGGAAAAGGTCTCGAGTATCTCGGGAGGTACAATATCTGTCCAGTCACATTCTAGAAAGCTCACAACACACCCCTGAGGGAGATGTGCTAAATACTTTGCCCGTTTTCGCATGGCATCGTCTACTACATGGCCAGTCGATATATGCTCCACCCGGGGAAGAAGCGTCGAGGGGAAATCGGAGAAGTCACCGAACTTCGTTTTAAGGATGCGAATATCGAGTGGCGATAGGTATAGGTGCGGCGGTGCATTGTAGAAATGGAATTGTTGCTTAGCATGATGTTTGGATTTCAACGTTGCCGACGCAGGCACGGTTTCCACCTCCTGTTTCTGATCTCTCAGCTTTTCCTTTGCCGTGTTAATTGCCCGTATGGCTCGTTGTGGCCAATCACCCTCCTCAACACCGTACTGCAGCTCATCTTCCAGAGCTTGCCTCCGTAGATCCTCCATTTCACGTTCGAACTGTCCAATGACGTATTCGTTGGTCCCCTTCATGATCCGAGCATAATCCATAACGCTGGCTGCGAAATGCCATGGGATATCTTCGCCCAAGTTCGCAACATCACTTCCCCCCTCGTCTGGTAGTGCTAATATAGACCCAGCCTCGCGTACCATCAATCGTAGGACAACATCTTCCCCGACGTTGGGCAAGGGGTTCTCTTGGCCCTCATAGAAACGAACTGGCCGAACTTCGGAGAGCCGAAACGTGTCATCGCAGATAGGGCACTTCTTCCAGCGCGCCTCTTTCCTGGGACTAGGCTCCTCGTCGTTCGTCGAGTTCATAAATCTCAAGAGGCAGGGAAGGCAGAAAATGTGACCGCAGCGGGCCATGCGAGGGGCCACGGGGTCGCAGAAGCATATGGGACAGGACGTTGTCTGGGATTTGGAAGAGGCGATGATCTGGAGCACATCGGACCAGTCGAGGTGCTTATCGGCATCGACAGCTTGGGAGCTGTAATTGCCCGTCGGCGAGACTACGAAGCGGTAATTGGCATGAACAAACCTGACGACGCCACCTTAGCATTACATTGGGAGAGAGACTCAAGGAGCCGCGGCTGCTACAAACCTGGCCTTATCCACAGCATGATAGCCGGAACCGGTGCTCCAAGTAGGGTGACGGCGGGCTCCTCGGTGGTGGTCCTGGTAGTGGCGAGAAGGAGCGGAGTAGTTTAGGAGGTGCGTAATGGACGTCTGTCCACGGCGACTCGAGGGATTCCGGACGGCTCTCTGTCTCACCGCGATTAGTCATTTCCTGGAGTTGTCGGGGTCGGTGTCGGTGTGGGCTTACGATCTCGGCCATGGCGTCGTCATCATCTGGATTCCCGTTTGGCCTCCGCTGACTCCGGTGTTGTTTCCTCGACGCTTGTCCTTTCCTTGGGGCAGCTAGGCCTGGGAAGGATGGGCTCGACAGACCAGGCCGCCGCGACCCGGAGTCGAAGCTGGACGGTGGAGCAGAAATCTGCTGTGTAGAAGAGCTGTATGATGCCGGGGTCGAGAGGGATTTGGCTCCCAGGTTGCTCGAACCACTAGAGCTCATAGTGGTGACGTGCTAAGCAGGACCGGGCATGCACTATAGCTTGGATGTCTTGACGAAAGCCACAACCTTGAACACGCTGCGATGAAGTGGTTGGTGGTTGATGTGAAGAGACTCGGATGGATAGATGGGCAGATGGGCAGACGAGCAGACGAGCAGACGGGCAGACGAGCAGACGAGCAGACGAGCAGACGAGCAGATGGTTCGAGGTCTAATACGGCAAACGTGGAAGAGAAAGGGTCTCAGCAGACAAACAGACAGACAGCAGACCCCAGACCCCAGAAACGGAACGGATCCGAGGAGTCACGACTCGGCGGGGCCAAGGGCTACAAGGTTACCGTGAGACGGGACGGGCGTGGGTTGATATGTAAGTACAGTATCATTCCAACGCCACAATCTGGGTGGGTCAACCAACCCACCATCCACACTTACCTCATACAAGTACTCCTTACAGTACTTATGTACTTACCCACATGTGTTAACTACATATGCAGGCAAGAATCATGCACCCCATGCTTCAATACTTACATGGAGGTATTATACATGCCTTCCACTCCAGGTGCTTTCTCAAAACTCTTTCTCTTTCACTGCTAGTGGCGTGCATCACTTATGTTGGAGGCGGGGCTGTTTGCCTTGGCTACACTGGACATACCGTTAGTGTCACAACCGCCTATCCAGGTTGGTCGCCTGGAGTAGTGTACATAGTACCTAGTGTACCTAAGCACAGCCGCCAAGACATTTACTGTACAGTTAGTAAAGCCAGTTCTGTGACCTTACCCATCTGGAATTACTCTATCCAAGAACTCTATCCCCACAAACGCTACTATCTCGACATCGATATTCCGACGAGTCTCCATCCAATGGCAAGATGGCCGAGCGGTTATGGCGGTAGGTTCAAGGCATAAACCTTACCTGTACTACAGGAAGCATTCTACTGGGGAAACCCGCGTGGGTTCGAATCCCACTCTTGTCAACTCCTTTTTATATTTGTTTATGAAAATATTTTTGCCATAATTAAGAAATAATGATTCTCTAATAGCCTAAGTAAAACGTTAATAGTAAGAAGGGCAAAAAGAGCGCGGATGAAATTACACTGCTACGTTTTCTTAAAGCCTGCGCTGTATATCAACATACTGTAGACAGACGCAACAGCTAGCTTTAAACCATAATACCCAAAGATCTGTTTAGATACTTGGTCCAAGATCATGAGGCCATTATATTATCCTCTGGTAGGTGCTGCAGAAGGTGAGAGCTCGACGATAAACCTTCTCTTTCACTAAGGGCTGTCGACCTTGCATCACCCCGTCGAACTGAACTCGTCGAGAGGAGGAACAGTTCAGTTCGGGTCGAACACTCAAACTGACCATTGACAGCCGTCCACCCCAACGTGCTTCAGCTGTACTGAGGGGGGACATTTTACGAAGGAGTGCCCCTAAAGAGAGACAGACCATGGGAGGAACGACAACAAATAAGCGAGGTAACTGCGGTCGTCGGTTTGCTAGTGACCCTCACCAGGCCTTCCACTACGATTACCATACGAAGGCTTGGAAGTCTCTTGCAAGCCCTTCGCATAGTCATGGGCGCCGGCCGACAGCGACTACAGGATCTAGATACCGATCCGGATCACAAACCGAAGCCACTCTAAGAAGCCCAGCGACTTGGCTATCCCACTTCCTTTTATAATTAACAGGCTCTATTATGGTCAATCTGGTCACTTGCTAAAGTCAACAGAAAAGATGTTAAGGTTGAGTGGAAGTTGGTTAATTTCTTATAGGACTAATTTTCCACCCTGGCACAGCCAGTGGTCTCCATACCCAATACAACCCTTTCTTGCAAGCTCATCTTCTTCTACCTAAGCCAGGGACAAACTATCTATGTCCTACGCCTACTACCTAAACAAGTGCTGCCTTATTTGTTACCGGTAGCCCGTATTCTGCAAAAGGAGGTATTCCATTCTTTATACTCGAAATATGTTCCTCTGAATTATTGGTAGGACTAAACAGATGGACTGCTGCCGGCTCAGGTGATTCTGGCTCCTTTGGGGGCATGTGCGAGAACCAACAGTCGTCTAGATAGATTCGGGGCTTTGCCAGATAATTGCGTCAGTGTTGGCGATGTTGTGAGCTCGCTTGGCTAGTTCGTTTAGCATACGTTCAAGTTCGAGCATTGTTGCGAAATCTTCGTCAGAGTATTATGAGTCACGCTCGTCTTTGAATGTTCGTCCTGCAGCAGTTGCAACAATGCTAGCGCAAATGATCTTCGGGGGACGATTAGGCTGTAGGCGAGACCAAACTTCGGAAAAATTTGCCGCAATATCGTTCAACTATTCGTTGTTGACGCGGACTACTACGACTTGGATGCGTCGTTTTGGTGATTCTGGCTCCCTTAGGGGCATGTGCGACAGCCAGTTGGGGGTCGGGACTACTACCAGCTCACCTACATTGCATCTAACAATGTGAGCGGCTATAATCATCTCGAAGTATCCTTGGGCGATGGGACACCATGCCCCTCGCCTACAGGAGCGCGATCGTCTATACTCAGGCTGGTCCAGTGGAGTTCGGTATCATCGGCGGTGGTGGTAAAGCCGGGACGGTTGGCGAAATGAACCTACAACCGGTGCAATGCCAAAGATCGACTGAATCTTCGCAAGCGTGAGCAGGTCCGCAGAGGATATAACCAAGTTATCTATTACGGGAGACATCACAAGCGCTATAGCGTGATCTGCAGCGTCTAATATTTAGAAGGCCCCTATTGCCCACCTCGGTTGACCTATTCATAACCCTTATAGCCTTCTTTTCAGTCGATCAAAAGCTTCAGCCAGAGATTCGGTTCCTTGAAAGTATCTGCGAAGGCTGTACGGGTTGGTAACAATAGTACCGGGACCTAGAAACCCTTCGGGTTTTGTAAGAGCAGCGAAGTCAACAATCCGAAGTAGTTGATCAGTAGGATACTGCCGAAACCTAGATAAGGCGATTTCTTGTTGAAATATTATGCTCAAGGCTGCGGCATACTTGTTATTGCCATGTCGCCAGAGTGCGTCCTCCAGTTTTGCTGGCTTAGTAGCACCGGGTCTTAAACTAGTATTTCGATTGGCGAGTCGCACAATATTAGCTAAATATTGAAAGCCAGAGGTTGATATAGACCTCAAGTCGTCAAGTACCTATAGGGTAACAACAGCGTTGCGGCCAACAATGCCACAGGTGGTTCACTGTATAGAATTTTTCTTCCTCTACAGTACAGCTCATGGCATCATTTGACTGGGACCTACTTAAAACTGTACACTAGCCAAGGGGATCATGGGGAGCCTCAGAGAAGATTTCCTTTCTTCTACCTGTTGCAATCAGGCTCTGTTATACCACTAGAAAAAGGGTAGATACGTGCAATGCACATGCTCTCCACCCTTAGGAGTCTTAATACGTGTTTTGATGGCCTTTATAGCGCCTCTCTAAGAGTACCTGTTTTAGTATAATCTTAAAAAACACCGGTTAATAAGCAAGGAAAGTAGTGATTAAACAATAAATAAGTGAGGTAATAGCTAGTTAATAAACAGCAAGTAAAACAATAAAGCAGAGTGGTAAAAGCGTATAACTAAATCATGTTATTCTATTACCCGGCAGCTAAGCGTTATCTATGTCTAGACTTCGGAGGTCATTTACAAGTGACTATCTTATGTATTGCAACAGTTGTAGGTTCGTTTTGCCCACCGTAAAGATGAGGTCGTAGAAAGGGTTGTATTAAGTATGGAGCCTACTGGCTGTGCCTGTCTACTCATCTAGTGTTGGTATGCCGCTATAGCAAGGTAGTCCAGGTGGCAATGGGAAATCCATCGTCTGCGCCCTCCACCGTAGTAGTCCAACCCGTGCGATTAGCGTCTAAGTACACCCTTGCAATACAACCCCGAGGGGCTCCCTACATAAACCAATCCCCGCACATTTTCTCCATCAATCAATAAGCATAGGCAACGTGGCTGAGTGGTTAAAGCGTATGACTAGAACTCATGTGATAATATCATATCCAAGCTTATCATATCCCTTCGGGGTCACAGGTTCGAGTCCTGTCGTTGTCGAAAGATTTCTCTTTTGAATCCTTGAGATCTATAGCATCTTGTTTTTGGTTAACTACCTAATCTGGAGTAAGGTATGTATCTATGTATCTATTCACTCTTTTTCGTTTCTTGTTGTCACAGCCCACGGACCTCTTCATGACCCCATCACACACTCTTTTATTCTTTTCCCTTTTTTTCTTCATTTACCCTTCTTCAACATGTCAACATACTTCTATTTCCCACTAGCCTACTCTTCCGTTATTTCTTGAAACCTATCTTGCTTGCTACCTACCCATCTTTGCTAATGGTCTACAGTACACGGGAAAACTAACGATGAATATGATGAATAACATCTTTCTCAAGTATCACCTCACCATCTTCGGCTATGCACATACAACCCCACATGAATCGTAAAGCTACAACCCATTTCTAGTCATCATCAAGCATTTCAACAACACTAGATACACATGAGTACACATCCTTTCAGCAAACGACAAAACGAACACAACAATCACAGACACGTCAAATCTGCTTATATAATGGGGCATAGCCACGTCGTTTTTCTTCCGAGTAAGATAGGTTCAAGCAAAACTTATATCGATACATGTTTTATGTATGTACGCTAGATGCCTGAGGTGCGCGATGCCGATCCGCCGTCGTCATCTACTAAGGCGGGAGACGCATTTGGGGAATCATGAGCTTCAAAGCAAATCAACTTGACCAAAACAACCGGGAACGCGGAGAGAAAAGCAATGGACCCTGGGCTTCTTCGACTTGGCCGCCTAGTTTTTGTGCGAAAGTTTCGCCTTCACCTTGCCGAACATAGCACTGAGCCGGTTCTTCTTCTTCTTCTCCCCGGTTGCTGGACTGTCGCTTGCCTTGCTGCTGGACGGAGTAGCATCCCCTGCCGCTTTAGCTGGTGTAGCTGGGTCGGCGGCTTTGGCGCCGTTAGCGCCATTTGCGCCGTTTGCACCGTTCGTTGCCTTCGCTTGCTCAGTCGGTTTGGATACCTCTGCAGCGGGAGTCTCCGTGGTAGCAGCATCAACGGGTGCAACAGCGGCTTCCTTTGCTGTTGTGTCCGGTTCAGATGCCGCAACGGCTGGAGTCTCCGTGGTAGCAGCAGCCACCGACGTGGTGGGTGCCTCCGTTGTGGCCGGAACAGCTAGGGCTGGAGTTTCCTTTGTTTCAACAGCTTCGGTTGTCGCTGGTGCCTCGATCGTAATCGGGGCGGGCTCGCCGGCTGCCTCTACGGGCTTGACCTCCTCCAACAACTCGGCTTCAACAGTCTTCTTTTCCTCAACGGCCTCCGTGTTGGTGGCAGCCTCTGGAGATTTTCCTGATACGGCAATCGACTCTTGCACAACAGGGGGAACTTCTGACGAAACCTCTTCACGGGGCTCCTCGTTTGCTGCTGCGTCAACAGTCTCAACCTCCTTCAACAGCTCAGATTCTACAGCCTTCTTCTCTTCAACAGCCTCTGTGTTAGCGGCTGCTTCTGGGGATTCGCCAGCGAGAACAATAGATTCCTTGACCAGGGCAGGGGCCTCAGGTGATACTTCTTCCCGTACTTCTTCTTTTTGAGTGGCACCGATTGTGCTCTGAACGGATTCGGGCAGCTGCTCTTTAACCGAATCAGGGAACTGTGCGGCAGCGGAAGTGGCGGTAGCCTGAGCAGCTGAAATAGCATCTTGTGTCTTCTCCACAGCGACATCCTTAGCAACGACAACCCCGGCAACGGCAGCACCGGCAGCCGCGGATGCAGCAGCAACAACAGATGCAACGGCTTCGCCAGGAGTAACAACGTCCTCAGTCTTTTCGGTCCCCTCGCCGGCGGTACCCTCAGAGGTGGATGGAGCCTCCTTTACCTTGTCTAGCAGCTCCTTCTCAACCGCTGCCTTCTCCTCAACCTCCTCGGGTACTGCGCTCGC